CGGACTGGCGCCACCTCCCCAAAGGTCTCCCTCAGGCCTCTCGCGGACCACCCCGCACCCCAGGCAGAGCTGCCCCTCGGAGCACAGTCGGTGCCAAGCCAAGGCCGGCACGGGCACAGCGCAGCCAGGGCAGAGTCAGGTCACGGCCCAGCCACCACGGCCCGCTTTCTCCACGAGGGAGGAAGGGGGAAGGGGGGCTTCCAGAACAACTAGAACCTTCCGCTGTCAGCTTGCAGCCCTCGAGGGACAGCCGCTGACACTGGGGCCTGAAGATCTTCAGGTCATATGTGAAGGCTTCCAACTCTTAAAAGCCTGTAACTGCAAATTGTTTTAAAAAACAAACAAAACAGTCTTCAGGCCAAAAAAAACCCAAAAACCCCCCACACACTATGGACCCTGGATGATAACGTTGTGTCCGTGTAGGTTCATCGATTGTAACAATGTGCCACCAAGAACGCGACGTGGATGTGGGGCCGGGTGTTCGGGAACTCTCTGTACCTTCCACTCGGCTTTGCTGTGAACCTAAAACCGCTCTAAAAAATAAAATCTTGGCAGTGCTCACACCTACAATCCCAGAACTCTGGAAGGCCAAGGCAGGAGGATCACTTGAGGCCAGGAGTTCAACGCCAGCTGGGCAACATAGTGAGATCCCGTCTCTACTAAAAATAGAAGAAATGGCTGGGCGTGGTGGTGAGCGCCTGTAATCCTAGCTACTCCGGAGGCTGAGGTGGGAGGATCGCTCCAGTCCAGGAGTCTGAGGCTGCAGTGAGCTATGATGATGCCACTGCACTACAGCCTGGGCAACAGAGTGAGACCCTGTCTCAAAAATAAATAAACAAAATTTAAAAATAAAACGTTTATATGAAACACACACACACACCCCGCCCCCACCCCCCACTGGCCGTCTTACATTCGGTCACCTCTCGCCTAGGCCGACCGGGCATGCTGGCTGCTGGCATTTTCTGGATGGGTGTGGACCCTCCCCAGGCCCTTCACAGGGCAGCTTCCTCCTGTCTCACCTGCCCTCTCTCTGTAGATCTGCTTGGTGCAATGCACCCACCTCCCAGGGCGCAGCATCGGCAGCACCTCCCCGGGAAGCCTTCCTGGACTGCACCCTTCCCTCGGCTACAACGCTCTCTCCTATCCAACCATAACAGATCACAGTGTTCAGGAGCAGCTCATGCCCCAGACCCTGGGTGCTGTAAGCACGTACGCGCCAATCCTGATCCCCACAACCGCTCGGTGAGAGGCACCGAGAAGTGGCGCAGCGGCAAGAGGACGAGCTCTGGGGCAGGCCAGGCTCGGAATCCGGCCCCACCACTGACCAGCCACATGGCCTGAGCAAGGCACTGCACTTGCCTGTCCAGCCTCACCCTCACAGGGCTAGTGTCCGAACTGCATGACACCGGCTAAGCGCTGCCTAGTAACTGACTGCCACTGTCGTCCCTGCTGCACAGACGTGGAGACACGCGAGCGGCTAACGCCGTATCACCCGGCCTCAGTCGCACAGTCAGACCGGCTCTGCCCGATGCCACAGCAGCTTCGCTCCCGCTGACTCTTGGGACACGGCATTTGCTCCCTTTTAATGTCCGCCACTGTGGATGAGGCCTACGTCCCCGGGAGCTCCCTGTCTCACTCGCCTCCGCGGCACCTACTGCAGGTCCCTGACAACACCACCACAGGAAGGCCCGGCACCCCAGGGGCTTTGGAAGATGGGGGCCAGGTGGGCGCCCCCTTCGGCACAGGACAGCAGCTCACGCTCTGTGAGCCCAAAGGGCGAGGGCACGAGGGCAAGGCAGAGACAGAAGTGGGACACCCCACCACGGAGGGCCCCAGACCACACCCTGAGGGCTCAGGGCTCGGCTGCTTTCTCCGCAGCTGTGAGGCACCAGCTCTGTGCTCCTAGGACAAGGCCACTGGCATCAGCCGTGGGTCTGCCCGGGCTCCCCCACCTGCTCTCGCTCCCTGACGCCGATCGCGAAGCCTCCTCGGTGGCCAGCATGATCTCAGCACCCAACACCACGCCCCCTCTGCTTCTCCTGCTGCGCTGGAGGTGCCCTGGAACGAGGGCCAGGCCTCGGGGTCCCCTGAACCCACCAGCAGCCCTGCGTGGGGGAGTTCCCGTGACAGTGTGCCCCGTCGGGCAAGGAGCCCAGTCTCTAACCCAACAACTGGCACCTAAGAGGACTTCGGAACACCCTTTGTCTCCCCAGACCCCAACTTTTGCCAAAAGAAACAGTCATCAGAGGAGTGGCATCATGGTCAGCTGTAACTACACGCAGACCGTGCTCTGATGCCGCCGAGGAGCCTGGGGCTCGCAAGTGCCAGCTGAGACCTCTGTCCCATCCCTTAAAATGGGGGTAACGACATCTGTCTCATCCCCCTAAAATGGGGGTGACCACCCCCATCCCAGGGCCTTGAGAACAGTGAGTACCAGGCACAAGGCCAAGGCGCCCGCCAAGTGCTCGGCAACCGAATGTGGCGAGTCCCTCCCCACCGCGGGGGCCTGCACAGGCCTCGGCAGGCTGGAGGCCTCAGGAAGCCTTCGTTCGCCAGAGGACGAGTGAGGGGGCGTGGAGAGGCCTGTGAGATGCACCCGAGCACCCGGGCCCTGAGAGCTGTGCGTGCCTAGCAGCGACCTTCAAGGAAAGCCCCCCGGGGCAACCAGGTAGAACTAGAGTCCTTGGGCTGTGACTGCTGCCCTCCCCCGCCCAGACCTCAGGTCACCCTCCCTGAAGTCCTCTTGGCCAATTCCTCCTCTCTATCCCCCAAGACACGACGCTCCCCTGCACATCCTCCCAAACTACGCACCCCTTCCTCTGGGTTCCGAGAGCTCCCGGGGCCCCTCTGGCAAACCTCCCACCCCTCTGTCTGGTGCCTACCGGGGAGCACATCCCCCACGGCCTGGGCTGCTCTAGGGCAGGGACAGCATGACTCCTGCTGCATTGTCCAGCATCGCCCACCACTGGCCTGGCAAGTGGGGCCTGGGGAACCTCCTCCTCCACCCAGGCGGGGCCAGACGCCTCTTCTGGGCCCTCACAGCACGGCGCTGTGCCAAAGCCCTGTGTCCACATGCCCAGCGCTGGGCCTGGCATGAGCGGCAACCTCAATGCACTAGGTTTATTCAGGGAATTGTGACCGTGCTCTCCATTTTAGGAAACTGAAGAGGAAATTGAGCCTGGGAAAGGGGAAGTAACATGTCCAAGGCCACAAAACTGGAAGGGACAGCACCAAGACTGAGACCCAGGAATGCCTGGCCCCAGAGCCCTTTCTACACACTTTGCGCCCACACTCGAGGTCTGCTCTGGCTGTGAGATGAAAGCATCCGCAGCCTTCCCACTGAGGTCAGTACTATTATTATCACACCCATCCTTCCAGGCAGACACTGAAAGATTGAAGTTGCCCATCTAAGGCCGTTAAGGTAGTAAGTGGTGGAGCCGGGATTTGAACCGAACTCCACTGACCCCGGAGCTCCTGGGAAATATAGCTCAGCGTCCGTGCACATTCTGGCCCTTCGCCAGAGGCCAAGCATGGTGATAAACCCTTCAGCCAAAGCGGGGGAGAGATCGATAAGACATGAGATAACCCAAGTAGGAATCTGATCTGAACCTTCTCTGGGGCTGAGGCAGGAAGGCAAGAGGGGACTGCGTAGAGACAGGCAGGTGAACGTCAGCCAGCTGCATTTAGCCAAAGAGGCTTACAGCCGCACAGAGAAGCTAAGCCAGGATCAACGGCAACTGTGCTTCCCAGAGCTGGGGCCAGCCCTGATCCCCAACCGGATCCTCGGCATTGCCCAGTATGGGGCCCAGCACCAGGAAACTGCACAGAAAAAACAAACCAAGTGGCTCCCTCCCTAAAATCCTGACCATCCCCCAACTCTGGGCTGGGTCAAGGTGCCTTCCCTGGGCTCCCACAGCTCCCTGGACCATCAGGGCTATGGTCACCCCAGAAGGCGACTCCAGGTCTCAGTCTCTGCCTTCCACCCAGACCCCAGACACCTGTTCAGCTCCCGTCCCTGGTGTCCGACACAGGGCCTGGCACTGAAAAAGCCTCTGTCTACACTTGATCCTGTCTCCTGTGTCTGTGGGTCATTTTTCTACTGACTCTGAAGGTCCTCAGGCACTTATCTCCATGAACGGGGGTACCCCCGGACTTGGGGGTGGGGTGTTAGAGGGGCGGGACTCGGCATCTGATCCACTCGCTCAAGCCCGGCGCCAGAGAGGCCTCTGGAATGGCCACGGGCTCCAGCCACCGCCTTCGCCCTGCCCCGTAGGCCACGCGGTGGCTGACCTTGGCCCAGTCACTTCCCCTCCTGGGGACGCGCTTCCTGCCGCCCGCCGGCGCGCGACAGCGAATGAATGGGCCTCCTGCCGGCCGGAATCCCTTTAATTACCCGCCCGATCAAAGGCCACGCGCAGCCCGCCCGGGGCAGCAACGGGACCCGGCCGGCTCGGAAAGGGGAAGGAAGGGATTGGAGAGGGGAGGCCTGGGGGCCGAGATTGTCCCCCGCCCGGCAGCCGCATCCGGCCAGACCAGCTCGGCCCGCGCGGCCCCTTCCCCCATCCGAGCCTCAACTTCCCCCGGGAGTCGCCACCACTTCCGGCCACGACGGGCGGCGGAGTTGGGGACTCGGGGACGGACACAGCTGGCCCGCCCCAAGGCCCCAGTCCCCCGCAGCGCGCACGCACCGCCCCACAGCGCGCAACAGCCCCGGCATCGCGCACGCGCACCCCTCTCTCCCGGGGCCGCGCGCTGCCCGCGGCCCCCGCCCGGCGCGCTCCCCGCTGCCACCCGCCCCGCGCCCGGAGGCGCGCACGCGCACTCCCCCACCCGCGTCACCCCGGCCGCGCGCCCACTCACGCCCCCCCCACCGGCGCGCACGCGCATTCGCCTTCCCAGGCGCTCTCGCCCTCCCACCCCCAGTCCTCAGACCGCTTCCCGAAGCGCGCGCCCCCCTCGGCCCCGGGCGCACGCCCCCTGCCCGCGCCCCCGCCCCTCACCTCCTCGGTCCCGGGGCCGCTGCGCCGTACTCCTCCTCTTCTCTCCTGCCTCGCGGATGGTGGCAGCGGCGGCAGCGGCGACTCAGACCCTGGGGTCAGGGGGACGGACGCCCAGGCCGGAAGTGACCTTCCCGGCCGCTTCCGCCCGCGCCGCTCCCCCCTCCCCCTGCCCCCTCCTCCTGGGCCGCCACCCTGTCCTCGCCGCTCTAGGCAGGCGAGCCCCGCGACCCCAGGCCGCCGCCCCCCACCTCTATGGTGCCGGGCGGGCACCCGAGGGAGACACTTCCGGACGCCTCTAGGACATAGGTCCTCCGTCCAAGCTCTATGGCGCCTGGCACTGAGGGGCTTCGGCCCCGCCCCCTTCTCGGACCGGAGGCGCGGGCCTGGCCCGTTAGGCGGAGACTTCCGGGTGTTTAGGGCGGCGCCCCCCGGCCGGGCTTCCCGCGCCTGCGCGGCTGGCTCCCCGCGCCTGCCTCGGGGAGGGGGAAAGTGACGGAGACGGACGCTCGTGCCACTCGGGGTCCTCCTGTCGTCTCTATCGTCGTAACCCCTTCCCTCCCGCGGCTCCTCCCGGTGGCCGGCGTCCGGGTACCCAGAGGCCACGGTCGTCTGCGACCCGGGTCCCTCAGTTACTGGGCCGAGAGGGCCGCGCTTCAGGCGCCGCCCAGGGTCAAAGTCTGTCCCTACCGCCCCTCTCGTGGCCTCAGTTTCCTGATTTCTAAATGAATAGGAACACAACGTGCGCCTCCAAGTGCTTCCCATCCATTAGGTCCTGGAAACAACTAGGGCCTTGTGATGGGTTCTGCTCCCACTTTGCAGATGAAGAGGGGGCGAGTCATTTACCGAAAGGCGTACTCCGGGAGTGGCAGAGCCTGGGCTCGAACACGTAGAGTCTGGCTCTAAATTCGTGCATTTAACCGTGAGTGTACGCACTGCCTCCTACAACAGAGTATTGGTCACAGCAACTGGAAATTCACTATTTCCCGGGTGCTGGGTAGGCACTTAGTAACAGTCGCTGGATGTTAGGTGTTGTTAGTGTTCTTGCAAAAAACACGTATTTTAAAACAATTGTCCGCACCATAGTGCTCATGCAGGCTGGTCCTCGGGCCCACCCCCGTCCTGCACTTGCTCTGGCCTAGTCTCACCTAAGTGGCAGATGATTTATCATTATTATTTATAATCACTTTATTATGGGTAGTTAGAAAGATGGGGAGCAACAATTCACTTGCAGAATAACAACTTTCTCAGCCTCAATTTCTCGTCTGTGAGATGGGAAAAAATAAAATAATGGGTGAGGTAATGTATGTGAAAGCTGTTTAGTTCAATACCTGGCTCATAGTAAACTCCCCCTAAAAATGGTAGCAGTTTTTATTACTTATTAGCAGTATTGCTTCTACTTCTGTGGCCATTGTACACCCTGAAGTCTAAGTCGGCATCGGTCGTGAGAAGTGCACTGCTGATTTAAGAACATCTTTCTGGGGCGGAAGAAACAGTACTGTATTAAATGTGCATGGCAATAGTAAGATGTGTCTGTGTCCTACCTTCAGAAAAGCCACAAAGGTAAATTTTTAAATATATCTTAGAACAGAGGGAATGTGCCATAACAATAGCAATAAAAATTAGAATTTTTTATATGAGCTCTATGTCATGAGCATAGGGTATGAGCTCTAGGCCAGGGAAGCTGTGTGTAAGGTAACTCGTGTGTCTGTGCTCCTCTGAATCCCATCCGTCAGCAGGTGTCCTGCAACGGCCTGGTTGTGGGGGAACAGCCTCCTCCCCCTCCACCCTGTTCTCCCTCCCTGCAGGCCAAATTGACAACCTAACGGCGAGATCTAGGTCAGCTCACCAGATGGAAGCCACACATTGAGGATGAAGGAGTAACAAGATAGAAGGAGCCAGACAGGCATTTGCCTGATGGCTTTGTGAAAAGAGGCTCCGTGGCAGCTGAGATTTTATGTGAGAGAAATAACTTTCTATCTCATTTCAACCATCGGTAATTCTGAGTCTCTCTTAAGACAACCAAACCAACACCGGGCTATCTCCCAAACATGGCATGGGTTTGCAGCCGAGGTGGCTAAGTCACCGCTAAAACCTGTTTTTGCCTTCCATAGTATCCTTCCTGGGATCCTGCTTCCCACCCGGGGATTACACTCTCCACTCCTCTTAGCACCTGGGTGTGGCCTTGTGACTGGTTCTCACCAATGAGATGGGAGTGGAAGTAACACAGGCCCTTTCCAGCCCAAAGACATATATGCCTGCTCCACACTCTCTCCCCTCTTGCTCGCTGGATACAGACAATAGCAAGGTTCTAGAGAAAAGGCAGAGCCCAGAGAAACCTGGGTTCCTGTGTGACCACCTTGTGGACACACATTCTGTCACCCAACACCCATCCAAGACTGTTAGGTGATCAAGAAACAAACGTCTAATTTATACACCCAATGCCCATAGCAGCATTATTTACCATAGTC